TGATTTACATCCTTTTGAATTGATACAATTATGAAGCTTGACTGAGTGAACCCTTCTTTGTTGTACATGGTATAAACCATTCTCTGCATGAGTGTGTACTTATATGTCTCTCCTAGTAATGCACAACACAGTGTATTGAACTGCTTGATAGCTCTGTGGTTTAGGTCTGGTTGGGAGTTCAATTCCCCACTGTGCCTCCCTGACAGGAGCTGGACTTGATGTTCCATAGTGTTCCTTCAAGCACTGGAGTTCTGTGGTGGTGATGGTGATGATGATGTGCATTAGCTGCTATAAATTAATATGTACCAACCTATTATTAGTAAATGCTCACCAGTGTGGAGACTTAGCTGCCCATTGACTCTCTTATGAACAAGTGACAACAAAGTGGTGCTAATTTGTGATTCAGGATCTTTCAACAGTTTTTGGAATGAAAAAACAGTCTAATAGTTTAGTAGTACTTGTAACACTTGCAGACTCCAGAAATATAACCAACAGAACTGAGAGTGCTAGTTTAAATTCAGAACTCTTTACAGAGACTTTAGGAGGGTGAAGGGCAATAATTCTTCCTGTTTGTTCTGCTTGTATTTGTCATCCTATTCTTTCAGAAAGTTGAATTATAATATACAGTGGTGTCTCGCTAGACGATTACCTCACAAAATGGTTAATTCGCAAGACGATGGGGTTTTGAGATCGCTATAGCGCTTCGCAAAACAGTTTTCCCTATGGGCGATTTTCGCTAGTTGATGTTTCGGTCCGTGCTTCGCAAGACAGGTTTTTTTTTCCCGGGATGGTTTTTCACAAGACGACAATTTTGGTTTTTTTTCCGGGATGGTTTTTCACAAGACGATAATTTTGACAGCTGGGTCCACGCTTTGCAAAACGGTTTTTTAAGGGATGGTTTTTCCACAAGACAGTGATTTTTGACAGCTGGGTTTGCACTTCGCAAAATGGTTTTCCTATGGGCCGGGATGGTTTTTCACAAGACGATAATTTTGACAGCTGGGTCCACGCTTTGCAAAACGGTTTTTTAAGGGATGGTTTTTCCACAAGACAGTGATTTTTGACAGCTGGGTTTGCACTTCGCAAAATGGTTTTCCTATGGGTTGGTTTTTGACAGCTGGGTTTGCACTTAGCAAAATGGTTTTCCTATGGGTGATTTTTGCAAGACGCCGATTTCCCCCCATTGGAATGCATTAAATAGATTTCAGTGTGTTCCAGTGGGGAACCGCATTTTGCAAGACAATATTTTCGCAAGACAGCGAATCTCGCGGAACGAATTAACATCATCTTGTGAGGCACCACTGTAATGATAATTGTGTGCTGTGAAGCCAATTCAGACATATAGTGATCCTAGGTTCACTGGAAAGTTTCTAGAGTGTATAGAACACTTGGCAACATAATGTGAATAAGACTAGAATTAATTAATTATTGAATAACTAGACATCTAGCTGCCTATTTGGCCATAGTCAACATTTGCTGAACATTCTGTGCAACCTATGAATGCACATGTGTCAGGCAATATTTTGTTGTTTCATTTTTGTTGTGATCACAGTGGCAGTGGGAGTCTCTTGTTCGGTAACCCCTCTGGAGGCATTCCTTCATACATACATCTTAGTCAAGAGTTGCCATTCTCCTTAAAATGAAGACAACCTGTAAGACTTTCCATAAGCACTTGGTTTCTTCTTAAAATATTGCACATTGTAGTGAAGTAACCTGTGATGCAAACCTTGTTTTCACTTCTTGCCCTTATGTGGTACTGCTATGTGTGAGCCAGTTAAAGCCAAATGATATTACAGTGGCAACAGTTGCAGATGCCAAGGAGTAAAGATTATATGAGAATCCACTGGATCTGTGATAGAAGGCAGAGTCCCCCATAGGATTTAGTGTGATATTTGGGGTCAAAGCTGCATTTTGATTCTTCAGTAAGACAGTTCCTATAATTAGTCCATATGCCTGTAAATTAATGTTAAATGCAGAATTTGTTTAGTTGTTTGACCAAGTGTTTTTTTTTAATCATTAGTCCGATGCCAACCTTAGCAAGGACACTGAACAGGTATTGCGTCTACAAAGCACTAATTGTATGAAAGTGATTTAAATTGAATTGATTTAAATCAGTGATTTAAATTGGCAAGAAAGAGTTCAATTTAAATCAAGTCTTCCATTGGTATTTTTTCATTTATTTCATAAACAGTGGTGCTGATCTGACCAAATCTGCACCTAAAGTATTACTTAGACTTTCATTTTTATAACCAGTTCTTGTCTGTTTTGTATAAACTTTGCATGTTTTCGTTTTGTTTAGCCGGAGAAGGAATGTCTTTAAAATGCTCTTGCACAGAGTCTTATAAATAGTGCCCAGTTACAGTTTGTGAGGTTGATTACAGAAAATAGGAATTTGTGCAGAGAACACTCTAGTCTTTTCTTTCTAGGGTTGCTTCATTCTGCTTTGGCCCAACATTGCCTTCATGAAAACAAACAAAATAAAATGACCACGTTTGGTAGGTAGAAGTAAGGCCAATAGTTATTATGTAAACTAGAACAGTTCATTTGGTTGGATGAGTGAAAGTATATATATTTAAGAAATAATTTGATTGCTTCTTCCTTTACAATGTAGATTCCACAGAGATGGAATTCTGATAGCTTAGTCTATGTGGCAAAGGAACTGATTCTGTATCAGTATTAACTACAGGGTAAACTTGTTCATATAAAGAATACTTAGTATTAAGCCAATATTAGCATTGAGTCAGGAACTTAGTACAGTATTTCGTATTTTTATATTTCTCCTTAAAATCTGCTAAACATAACTGATTTTAATTCAACATGTCTGAACACTATGTTGGAAGAGAGATATGAGAGTCCAGTCATAATGAAAGATTTCTGTACTGTTAAATTATTTCCAGCATGATGGAACTAAAATCCTATTTCCTGGTTATAAATTACTATTAAAACTAGAAACATCATTTTTATTTTGCTCTGATGATGGCAGCTTCCAGAAGTAGATGTCTGAAAGCACCTGTGTTTTTCTTGTGTGGGGTAGAAGACAAAGGTTTTTAGAGACTTCTCAAAATTACTATTTAACTATTGGCAAAAACACTGAATTAGGAATATACTTGCTATCTTGCAGATGGATCTTTATACACAATGGTCACATTTAAACGCACCCTCTCTTTCTGCCCACTTCCACCAACCCAAGAGGTTTTGCCCCTGATTCACTGTGCTGTTCAGCTAAACTATTAAAATACTTATTTTGCTGTAGTATTAATCAGAACATAAAGCTTTTTGCTGTACCCTTCACCATTTGTTGTCTGTTTTTAAGTCTGATGTCTTGTCCTCCCATTTCCTTCTGTATTTTGACAGTATGGGAGTATTGTCTTGATTACTTTATGCTTACACATTTTTACACCACTTCCACAGCATTGCTATTGCAAGGCTTTTAAGCAGTAGTTATGGACAAACAACTTAATCAACATTTTTTAAAAATGTTGTAAATGACTTCTAACAAAATGGGTGAATATTATCTATTTCATCATCTGCTTACATGTAGAAACATGTAAGATTTTGTCTCGCATGTGTTAAGATTTTTAATCAATTCTTAATATTGCCATTTGTTACTTCTGCTGAAACTCAAAAGTTCATATAGAGCCATGGTTTGCACATAACACTAAGCCAGGCTTTGCTTAGTCAAATTATGGTATGTCTGAACATTTGAATCTTTATCAGGTAACAAACAAAGCTACTGTATATATATTTGGCAGCAAACTCCTGTTTAATGCTACAGCTTGTTTTAACTATGGTTTGTTATCATGTCTGAGTCACAAATGCGAACTTATTCTTGGTTTGTTTCTGAGCCCTGCTCAAATATCTTACCAACCTGAACAGGTCTAAGGTAAGATGAACTAAGAAAGGAATAGGGTTTTAGGCTATACCACTGTTGCTTGCTTTCCTCTGAACTCCTTAATATATCCTATAGATCCCTCACAAATGATCAGCACATAAATAACACAACACACAGAGGGAAAAACACTCAAACTTTCTACACACACGCTGGAAAAGCTGCTCAGCACAAGCAAAAGGAAATCCCCAGCATACAAAACACAAGCAAATCATGTATGTTCTCTGCCACCACATCAGTAATGGGTAACAGGCAAAATCTTGTTGCATAAAATTACCCTGATGTAAATAGGATCTGGAACTGGAAATATTTAATTCAAAACTTTCTGTCTCTCCTTTTCAGGTTCCTAGAGCTCTCTTTTGTTTTGAGGACGCCTTTGGGAGCTATGGGATGAGGGACAAGGAAGCTTTTAATATATTTGCGAAGGCTTTCATGGCCGGGATCCAATGGTTGTTGTGGATCTTTCGGGCTCCTTGGTCGTGGTCTGAGGGTTGTTCTTCCTAACATTTCTCCAGTCTCTGTGGCTGGCATCTTCAGAGGATAGGAAGAACAACCCTCAGAACATGGCCAAGGAGCCTGAAAGACCCACAACAACCAAGCTTTTAATAGTTAAAAAAACACCACACACCCCCCATATTGCTGTCCATCTTCAATCTTGGCGGTGGAGATTTGGTGACAATTTTTGGTTATTAAAGGCTTTCCCCTCAATCTAAGATTCCTGTATGTTTCTTGTACAGAATCCATTTGATGCTGGCATAACTTTATGCAACTGGATTTTGCCCATTCAGTGCTTGACAAAGAAATTTAACTCCCCCACAAATACCCATCCCACAAGAAGATCTCTTCCCAGCCTCTAGAAATGTACATACAAATCCAAGTAAACAAAGCAACCTTTCCCTTCCATAAAGGCAAACTGATCCTCTATTGCTTTCATGGTGTTTGGGGAAATGAGCTAAGAACAGAGTGAATAAGTTGTGTTTACTTGGTTCATCTCCACAAGCTACTTTGACTGGTTCAACAAACCATAATGAAAACAAATCTTGGCTTGGTGCTATGTGTAAAAATAGTCAGTGTTAAAAAAAAACACCGAAACATTTTCTTTTTCCTACAGAAAGGAGCCTCCTATATCATTGGGCATCTTTCCATTACCTCCCGGAGAAGCACTTCTTACTCCTGATACTCAAAGAGCAACAGTAGAAACGCCGGGATCAGACACTTGGAAGTTCCGTGAACTAAGTCAGCCACGTTCTCGCACTAGCCTAAAGGTGAGGTAGTGGTTTTGTTTTGTGGGGAATTTTTAGAAGAGGCCTTTTATGATGTGTTGTGGGTATCAGTGAAATTTAAATACTGAACTGTCTTTCTTTAGTTCCTAAATTCTAAAAAAAGTTCATTCAGGTAAGCTGAAGGTAAGTTCCCTCTCCCCCATGTATAGTTGGACAAATGGGTCTTAGACTGCACTCTGGGATTATTGGAATGCCAGGATCTCAGTTCTGGTTTTCCAGGCATAGTGTTTTTCAAATTAGCTTTCTAGATAGATAAAACCTGCCTATTTTGCTTTTCTAAACTGATTAATATTTAAATTTACTTTTTTCTGTAGGAATATTAGTATGCTTGGGGCAGAGTTTTACATTATATGGGAATGACTTAGGAAAATGGATGGACATAGAAAGATGTGTGAGAACAGTGAATTTAGAGTTTTGATTTACTGGTGTATACTAATATACTGTTATTTGAAAGATATACTGTACTGCAATTTTAAAAAAGCTTATGAATGCTGTGGTAGCCAATAACATGTCTCTTTTGAGTTCATTTCTCAAACACATGTCAAGGCCACGGCACTATATCTTCTGGAAGCACTTATGGTATCTTTTCTTCTAGGGTGTACTCTGTCCACCTAGCAAACATTAATAAGAGCTACTAAAATTGATTTAAAGTGACTTGCTTTCAAATCAGTGAAATTCCATAGACATTTCCAAACGGAAATGTTGAGTAGTTGATTGGGGCTAATTGCCCCTGAACCATATCAGTGAATAACATTGCTTGTTCATTCTTCCCAATCTCTGTGTTCTGCTATGTGGATTCTATTGGCATGTTTGGTGAAGGCATACCTTCTGCACTTTGTCTAGCACATTGAACACTGAATATTGAAATGCAGTAAACTGAGAAATATTGCTGACTGAACTGAGAAAAATAATGCCTCCAAATGTATTTTAGATTCTACATGTTATTTTTATTCAACACAGAAGCCACATTTTGCTCTCTGTTGAGGGTGGATTTCTGAAGCTACTCATCCATTGACATCTTGCCTAGGTTCCATTTAATGTGATCCATGATCAGGTCATAGAGGAGTTTCAGTGGTCTGGCTTTCCTGTACAGTATGTGCCCTTCTCCCTACACAGTAGGTTATGGATGTGAAAAGAGAATGGTGGCTGAGAAGTCTGATTCAGATTATGCAGTCATTTCTCTAAGCTAACATCTGTGTAAATATGGCGTAGAAAGCACATGTTCCTAATAACTTGAGCAGTTATTAAATTTTGTCAAGAGAAATAAATCTATAATAAATCCATAGATGGTTTGTGACTTGATTTGGGGAGGGCAGCTGAAAATATGAGGTCAAGGGCAACATCCCACTTTGGACCAGGAGCTGCCTTCAACTAAAATTAATCAAGAGCTTTCCTGTGTTACTTTACTGAAAGTCACCTAAGTGTATTTTGAGCATCTTTTTCACAGTGCATGTCAGGTTGAATATTTTAATATAGGAGAGATCATGAAGTACTGGCTCACCAAAATGTACAGTCTATTGTAGGTTTTTCAAAAGGGCGACAATCAGTATTGTAGCCTCTTTTGTCAATTCATAATACTTCAATGGCTTGGGGGAGGGATTGCTGTCCAACCTTCATTGAAGATATCAGCAAGCGTATCCACAATCAGATTGCAGAGATGTATGGCTATTCATCCTTTTTTTAAAAAACATCATATAGTTGTGCAGGCTTTCAAGGAATTCAATATGATCTTCCTGGTTCTTTTACTCATTTTATCAAAACAACCATCCTGTGAAATAGGTTCAGCTGAGAGCAGGATTGAATCTGGATTTCCCACTGTTGGAGTTCAACACTCTTTAACTGCTGTATCCCTTGTTTTGCCTGTTTGTAGTACTTGACAGTCTTCCTGCTACAAAAGAAAATCCTGAAATGGAGAGAAGTGAAAGAAAATGACTCGGGACCTGGAATGTATAGTATTCACAGGACATAGAATCTAACTGTGGAACATGTCCTTCATAATTTTATATATATTTGTAGACAGTTTTGAACTTATATGTGTGCAGACAATATGATGATCAAGTGCATAAGGAGAAATGCAGCACTGGCAGTAGATGAGTAGAATTCTAATTATGAAACTGAGCTAGTCCGTTTCCTTTGTTAAGCTGTTGAAACTAAGCTCTGAGGTTTTCCTTGGCCCTTGTCTGTTGGCAGTCGAGCCATTTGTTGTGAGCTTTTTGTCTGCTAAGGTCAGTGGTGTGTGCTGCATTCTTTTGTGTGCGCAGTTGGAATACAGAAGCTGAGAAATCTTTAAACAAAGCCAAGTTTTTATTCTACTCTGGTGGGGGATGGAAAGAGCTGTGGATTTGCTTGATAAGACTGTAGATTCCTTTATTTTAGAAAGGTTGATTCACAAATTAGTTGTTGCTGGAGTTGGAACTGGATTTTGAGGGTGTTTTTTTTTAAGGTGGGATGCAACTGGAGAAATGAGCATCAGGAGAGAAGGAAGGGGGTTGCAGTTGGCCTAAAAGTATAATTGAAACATTTCTACAAGCACTTGGCTGGGCAGCCTATGATGGCATGTTACTGAATGATAATGTGCAATCCTAGAGGGTCCTGTTCAGTCAGGTGGAATATGTTAGCAGTCTGAATAGATTTTTGCTTCTTTCATGGTGGAGAGAATCCACAGGCTGCATTGCTTTGGGGGCGAGATAGTGAGATGCGTTAATCATTGATTAGAGGCTGGTGTGGTCCTATACCAGCCTCTGGTCATCATCTGATCAACGTGTTCGGTGTGTCTAAGCATGCTTTACCCTGAACTGGAGCAGGGAAGTCCCACGCTGGGTGGAAAAAGACCTTGTGAGACAGAGAGAAACAGCAACAGCAGTTAAGGCACAGAGGTTGCTCCTCAGAGTCACAGGGAGCATTTGAGTGGTTGGGGAGGGTAGCACTATTATTATAAATATTGCTGCTGTTCATGCTTGGACAAAGGCTTTGTTCCTGATGATGTGCCTCCCCCTTTTTATGACTAATACAGATCAAAAGTTTTTAAAAAATTCATAGGATTAGTGAGGATTTGTGAGCTAACTTAAAGTAACTGTTTCTGACCTGGACTCTAGAGCAGGGGTCATCAACCCCCGGTCCATGGCCTCTTCCTGCTCTGCCAGGGGTTCCAGGGCAACAGGGCGGGGGTGCACCGGGCTCCTTCTCCCAGGGACGGTGACACAGGGATGGGGCTTATCTCCGCCTTCCGCACCTGTGTCACTTGTCTGCCCGCCCATTGGTCCATCTTTCCTTCCTTCTTCGGGGCGATGGCGGCCCAGCTTCACTTCAGTGTGGGTGAGTGGCCGCGCCGCCACCACAAGGGTGGGAGCGAGGCTTGGACGGGAGGCCCCAGAAGGCGGAAGTTCTGCGGACAAGCAGCAGCGTCCCATGCGATCCAGCCCGGCCCACCTCTTCCCAGGAAGGGTTGGCCAGGCAGGAAGCAGTAGGATCGCTGGCGCTCGCTCCTGCCCATCCGCTTGCCCTGGGTGGGGCGGCGCTGCACCCCATGGCCGACCGTTGGCACTTCCCATGCGGGCTGCCCCACAAGGGGCATTGGGGGAATAGTTACCACGAGCAAGTGAGACACGCCCACCTATGAGGGTGACATGCCCCCTGAATGGGGGTGGTGGAGAGCCGTGTCCACGGCCCAGTTCCAGCCAGCCCACCCACCTATGAGGGTGACATGCCCCCTGAGTGGGGGGGCGGAGAGCCATGTCTGCAGCCCAGTTCCAGCCAGCCCGCGGATCGGCGGTGGGCCACGGATGGGGGGGTTGATGATCCCTGCTCTAGAGTATGTGGCTGACTTATGTGAAACTATAATTGGAGAGGAGTTTGGCAGTCATTTGATGGTGGGCCACGGACCGGGGGTTGATGACTCTAGAGTATGTGGATGACTTATGTGAAACTGTAATTGGAGAGGAGTTTGGCAGTCATTTGATTTCTATGTACACGACTGATCATTACTTTTCTTGCTTTCTCTATTTCTGACTTACAATTTTTTCACCAATGCAGTGATCATAACCCATTCTTGTCTGCTGCCAGTTTGTCCTCACAGTCTGTCTTAAAGTTCATCTTGGAGATTAGTTCACTTCTGTGTATGGCTTCATGTGTACATGCATGTATAGTAGAGATGGGGGCATTCACATGTATGGTAGAGATGGGGGCATTCGTATACGAATACAGTAGAGATGGGGGCATTCACATGTATAGTAGAGATGGGGGCATTCGTATACGAATATCCCCACACAGGTGGTGTTAACGAGGGTCCAGCCCCATGGGCCAGATGGTCCACTCACCGATCTGCCGCAGACACGGATGGCATGATTCTACAAATGGCTCTGCAGGGCGTGATCCGCTTGCTACTCCTGGCAGAAAGTGGGAGGACAAACCTCACTGCAAGGTCGAAGAGTGGCGAGTGGATTGCGCGCTATGGCGCCCTTTTGTAGAATTGCGCCATCCGTGTCCTCAGCGGATCAGTCAGTAGACCATCTGGCCCCTTGGGGCTGGACTCTTGTTAACGCCACCTGTGCGGGGATATTCGTATATGAATAATCCCACCTCTGATGTATAGACATGTGTGTGTGTTGTGTTGTTGTAAAAGTATTTAGAGCAGTGGTTTCCAGTGGTCCCCAGTACAACTCCCAGAAATCCTGGCCAGCATAGCTAGTGGTGAAGGTTTCTGGGAGTTTTAGTCCAGGAAATCTGGAGACCCATGGTTGGGAACCACTGGTTGAGAGCAGGAGTCCCCAACCCCCGGTCTGCGGCCCAGTGCTGGTCCATGGGCTTCCTTGAACTGGGCTGCAGACATGGATCTCCGCCTCCCCACATGCATGCACGGTGGGTGTGTTGTGCTTGCAGACGGGCGTGGCATGCCCCTATGTGAGTGTGACGCATGCATGCACAGTGGGTGTGTTGTGCTTGCAGAGGGGCGTGGCATGCCCCTATGTGAGTGTGACATGCCCCTCTGCGAGCGCGACACACCCACCCACGAGTGTGATGTTTCTACCCACTAGTGGAGCCCACCCCCCAACTGGTCCGCGGTCCCTAAAAGGTTGGGGACTGCTGGTTTAGAGGATTCTTGGCATCTCTTGCCTCTTGGCGTTGCCTTGAAATTGAAATTTTCATTGTCTTTTTGTTGCATGCAAATATAAATAGATACTGTATTTTTCTGCTTGTGAGATGACCCATTGTATAAGATGACTCCCCCTTTTCTAACTCCCAAATTAGAAAATTTGCACGATCGCACCCCTTTGGTCCTGAAGCCCTTTCATGGCTGCTTCAGGATCAAAGGGGTGCCTCTCAAAAGGCAGGGAAAGCGGCTGCCTTCCATGTATATAACAACCCTCAATTTTTTGTCTATTTAACTAAAAAGTGTCATTTTTATATACGGGAAAATACGGCATGTTTCAGAAGTGTCACTTCAGTATGTGTGTTCCTTTAAAGAAATGCTAGGCAAATCTTATTAAATTGTGAAGTTTAACACTGAGTTGTCCAGATTTGTATATTGATAACACAGTGAAAATATTACTGTGCCACGTTTGAAGAAATCTTTTCCAATAATGTGTCTGTCACTTTGCTGAATATGTGTCAGAATGAAAATAGGCCTTTTGTATGTCCTTCATCTTGCACCACTCCCCTGCTCTGCCCTGGAAAGGGGATCTGTTACCAATTACTAAACACTTCCCAGATTTTGACTCAAAATCTCTCTTCTGTCATATTTGTTGTAACATATATTCTCTCTTTGCTGCCTTGGGAAAGGTCCTTCCTTCTGAGTCATTGTGAATGGCCTTCAGTTTCCATTTATTTTAAACACTGTACACTTCTTTTTCAATAGAGCAATCAATGGCTTGTTTGATTTCATACTTAAACATAAATAAACGGTGTTGTTTCTGAGGTGAACCAGGTGGAATCTTGGTTAACCAGAATCTCACCTTTTACCTGCATGAGATTTCAAAGCAGCTTTAAACAATTATAATAATATAAAATCTAATAAAAATACAAAACAGCTGTTTAAACTATAAGCAGAGAAGAGCCAGCACATAAACTGTCTTCTGTAGAGATCTCAAATGCAATTTCAAGGATGGGGGAATATGGCAGACTATGTATGCCTGGTATCAAAAATATGTCACAAAACTCTGGAGGAAGCTATATGTGATCAGAAGTCTCAACTCATTTGGCTGCCACCTGAGAAAAGGATGTATTTTAGTAGCTAGACAAAAATGTTGCTTTAAATAAGGAAGTGGGTTTAATTGATCACTTAGAGCTAACTTGTTAAAAGAGCAACTGCTTCATCTGGCAAGGCTGCAGTTCTGTTTATGATACTCAGTTAATTTAGGTGAAATTTTGATTTACTTGCAAATGTATGTAACTGTAACCTGGCATTGTATTTTAGTCTATTGATTTTGTGTATCTCACCTCTAAAAATACAGATCCTCCCAATGTTACAAGTAAAATCAAAACAAATTAATAAATCCATAGAATCAAAACATAAGTTATCCGGATCCTTTTCACAGGTACTTAATGTAGTCCTGGTCTTGGGAAAGTTTATAATTTAGGCAGAGCATATTCTGAGCCTGTCCTTGCCTAACTCCCCTGTTATTGTTGTTTTTTGTAAGGAAAAGATGCTTCTGAAGGGGCCAGCAAATAACAAATGAAATGGGAAGAAGCCCTTTTTGATCCCCCTTTTTAATGCTCCTCCTGAAACATAGTTGTGGTTACACCACTGGTTAATGTTAACAGAATTGTATCTGCTGGTGACAAACCTAAAATTATTCTGTGTCCTTGTCTACCTTTTGTCGAATAGTCACAACCATCAAGAAACTTACCACGTCCCCATGTTCTACATTTATACGCACACAATATGGTGAGGTTCAGTAATATCAGTGAGCCCAAAGTCACTCATGTATTTCAGTGAAATATGCTTAAAAATGTGGGATAGGAACGCCACAGATACTACAACTGAAAAATTACATGAATAATGTGTTGTTCCTAGGTTGTCTAGCATACTTTTATTGGAAGAAATGCAGGATATAAATGAAGTAAATAAAAATTAAATAAAATATATCCTGGCCTTGATTCACTTACTTCCATTTCTGTGCCGAAGAAGAAAAGTGGGAAGTCATCGACTGCAGGAAGAAGGAAGAAAATAAAGATACCGTATTTCTCCATGTATAAGATGATACTTTTGTCTAAAATCTTTAGTTTAAAAATTAAGGGTTGTCTTATACATGGAAGTAAGGAGGGGGGAAGGAATCAAACACTTTGATCCCTGCTTTCCCTCTCCACTTTCTTCATAAGAAAGTGGAGGGGGAAAGGAGGAATCAAAGCGCTTTGATGATTGCTGTTTTCC